GCATAACCGAAAACAGAAAAATGAACAAAAAGAAAAACAATTCGCTGTCGAAGGCATCAATTCCCAGCGCAAAAATGTATAAGGCGAAAATTCGCAAAAAAGAGTCGAGGCAACACTGAAAAAGCAATCTAATTGCATGCATCCCTGCGGATAGGCCGATCGTCAAGCCGGATGGGTATAGAAAAGCTTGCATTCGTATATACACACATACAACAACGAACCGACATAGTAGCTGTGCAAAAATTCAACCAAAGCTGCTACTAAAACTCATATTGCACAGAGTTTTTGTGTCCCCTATATTTTTTTTTTGGATTTTTTTATTCACATGTATGCATTCAAACATAGCCGAGTACTTACATATATATGAATGCACATCGGGGTGGTCCAAAATAAGTTAAGTCGGAATTTTAAAGCTCTCACCCCCTAGGATGGCTCTATATCGCAAAAAAATATATCCACATTTTTTTATTTTGAAATCGAAAAATATTTAGAGGTCGCTCAAAGTTTCCCATGTAGCATATATTTTATTTCTTAAAAATCAATAATTTTCGATCGGAAAACTCTGTTTCACTTCAGAAGACTTCCAATAACAATACCCAATTGTTTATTTAAACACTTTTAATTACTAAAGATTTTTTATTTATCCCTTCACTGCATTTTCTGGGGGTTTTGACGGCCCTAGAAATAATTGGTTATTATTATTGGGAATCTCATAAAGAAAAATAAAGTTTTCCGATCGAAAAATATTGATTTATCGTTTCTACGAAAACCAGTTTTTCCCCATATAAAATACAAAGGAAATTTTGCGCGCTTTGATCGACCTCTAAATATTTTATGTTAAAACAAGAAAGAAAGTCTAAGTTCGGGCGGAGCCGAACATTAAATACCCGGCGCAAGTATTAAATATATGTTTTTTCACCCTTCCGAAACCTTCCGCTAGATGGTAAGCCGAGGTGTATCAATTTTGAGTAAATTAGCGTCCTTCAATTTCGAAATACTGAAGTTTCAAGCATTTCTTAAATTTACCGTTATATGAGAATCGGCCGTTATTTTAGTCCGATTTCAATAATTTTCAACGTTTTGCTTACACGTGGCAAGTACAATAACCATACCGAGTTTGGTACAAATTGGTAGAACGGTTACTGATATACTTATATGTGATCATAAGTGGGCGGTGCCACGCCCATTTTCCGAAATTTTACCATAAACGTATTTCTTGGTAAAGAATTGTTGCAAGCATCAATTTTGAATAAATTAGCTTCAATCGAAGATTTTGTATTTCTCTAAATTACCGTTATATGGGATGTGGGCGTGGTTATTGTCCGATTTTAAAAAGTTTCGGCGGTTTTTTATACTGTACCAAGGCCAACAACTGTGCCAAGTTTGGAAGAAATTGGTGCAGCGGTTACCAAGATATACACATGTAACCATAAGTGGGCGTGGCTACGCCCATTTTCCAGAAATTTATAATATTCTTATTTTTCGTCTAAAACTTATTATAAATATCAATTTTGAGTGAATAATCTCCAGTAGTTACTAAAATATCGCAGTTTTCGTATTTCTGAAAATTACCGTTATATGGGAAGTAGGCGTGGTTATTGAGCGATTTTAAAAATTTTCGGCCATTTGGTATGTTATACGAAGGCCAACAACTGTGCCAAGTTTGGAAGAAATTGGTGCAGCGGTTACCAAGATATACACATGTAACCATAAGTGGGCGTGGCTACGCCCATTTTCCAAAAATTTATAATATTCTTATTTTTCGTCTAAAAATTATTGTAAATATCAATTTTGAGTGAATTATCTTCAATAGTTACTAAAATATCGCAGTTTTCGTATTTCTGGAAATTACCGTTATATGGGAAGTGGGCGTGGTTAAAGCCCGATTTCGCCCATTTTCAATACCAACCTACCTTGGATTAAGGGAAACCTACGTACCAAATTTCGTTGAGATATCTCAATTTTTTCTCGAGTTATCGTGTACACGGACAGACGGACAGACGGACAGACGGACAGACGGACGGACGGACGGACAGACAGACATGGCTTAATCGATTTCTTTTTTCATCCTGATCATTTATGTATACATTTGTCTATATCTATCTCGATTCGTTTTGGCTGTTACAAACAACCGTTATGTTAACAAAATTAATATACCCTTGTGCACAAGTGCGCTCGGGTATAAAAAATAGGGGTATATTTATTCGGTACAGAACAAAAATTCCGACTTTCCATTTTCACATAAATTTCTGGACCACCCTAATGTTCAAAAAACTGCCCTACAAATAGGTTTGAAACACTGACCACTAGTTTAAAATTTACAAACAAATAAATGAATGAAACATACATACATACACTCCGCTTCACTTATATAGGAACAAATTTTTTCCTCAAGATCTGAGCTTTTATCCGGTCCTGTGTTCATCGAAGACTCTTTGTTTTAATCTCGTTTTGAATAATGGTCAAATTCGAAGCGAAATAGTGCAAATGAATTTTGGTATTAGATACTACATTTTTAATTCTAATGTATGGAAAAACCCTTATCCTTGTGTTTTAGCTAAATTTTTGGTTTTTTCCACGCAATGCTGAGAGCCGGATTCGGCTGTCGAAAAAATTTTCCATTTCCTTGAGTTTTATTTCCAACAGATCGCCTGCAAAGTCCTGAATTCGTGAAGCCCTTCATTTATGAATTTTGCGCAGTTGAACGTGCGCCTGCCTCGCTCATTCGTGCTCTGCAATTAAGTGCAATTTTAATAACTTTGCTATACACACAAGGATGTTACGCGTACCTGTAAATCACAATAATAAGCATTTTTTTCGTAAAGTTTGATAAAAAGTGTAATAAGCTTAAAGCGAAGCTCCTCAGATGTCCATAAGTCCAGATATAAGCCCGGATCTTGAAGGCAAAATGTATGTAAAATAACTATTCAAGTGAAGCGGAGTGTATGTACACTTATTTGCATACGTACAAACAACGTCATAAAAACATATTTATGCACATACATATATCTATTGTAGACCACAGAGCCTCTGGGATAGTGCAGCCAAAAAAAGTTTAGTATATTCGTTTGCTGGATTGATTAAAAGCAACCAGCAATAAAATTTGAGTTTTCCAACAGATGCGCATATGGATGTATAAAAAAAGGTGTGTGCTTCCAACACTCAAGAATTTTTGACGTGAAAGTTGATGCTTATGCATTTTTGAGAGAACTATAGATTAAATTGTATTCGTAAAAACCTGCGATTTGTTGTCACCACCTTGATTTTCCTTTATCCATATCTATACCAAAGTTTTAGGGGCCGAAAACAGCCAGATAGCCGATCCAAATAGCAGTGCAGTACATGACTAAAGACCAATCCTGATCAAAATCAATCGATATACCGCTTTTTAATTCCATTTGCCAATAGAGGTATTCATTTCAGCGCGTAAATTCCTCGTAAGCACGTAAACCGCGTAAACGTACTTCACTTTGTATTGAAACCCGGTTTATTTTCGAGGTTTACGTGGTTACGAGACATTTTCGCGTTTAGATGAATAGGTACCCATAGTGCGCTTTCACTTATTTGACAACAAATGCCATTGAATTTGACTATACATTGTGAAAACAAGCCTTTCTTCCCACTCGAATTCTTATGGTACAGTTTTTCGTTTTCCAATTCGTATCGGTATCGGTATGTTATTTGAGTTCATGTCTACGCTCTTGTTGGTATTGATTTCGTATTAGCATTTAGAGTCCGACCGATTAATCGGCATCGGCTAGTATCGGCACAAAATTGAACATCGGGATCGGCATCAGCCCCTTTCTAACCGATTATTGGGAATTTCTTTTCATATGTTCAGGTGCAGCGATAGCTAACATCAAAAACCATTTGCAGACAGCTCACAAAAATTAAATTCTTTTGGTTGAAGGTGTTTCACGTTTTTTCCATACAAAAGTATGTTCGAAAATTTTCTTTTATATGGAGAACACTGCCAGCAAAAAAAAAAGGAATTGCCAAAAATTAACGTGATTTTATAGCAGCTTGAAACCTGCACTTAATTATACTAGAATTAAATAGTCTACAAAACTGCATACCAGAATTCTGATTAGAAAGTTTGAAATTTTGGTGAAATTAAGCAGAATTTTTATAGTTTTTGAACAAAGTTTGAAATCTGAATTTATATGCAGCCAAATTCTTAATATTCCCGGGTAGTTTGTTCTTCGGGAATTTGTTTCTTCCGAGAAAGAAATCCTCCAATAATTAACTCCCAGGGGGTAGCATTTTCCCCGAAAATTTGGGAGGAGGAATTTCGAACTTCGAATTTTTTGACAGCTCAACTCCGTAATTTAATAATTGCGTAATGCACATGGATAATCTATTTGTTTATGCAATTGTTTTCATCATTATTTAGTACGATTAGCTGCATATTTCGGGATGGCCACGTGCATGGTAACTTCACCAAGGTGTGGTTTGCTTGTTCCAACCACTTTTCGGTGGAAAATTTTCGGCCTCGGCACGGATGTGCCCAATCTAAGCTAAACGCTGCACCAGCAGCAGTAGAGCGAGTAGTTTATCTGTTTATAAACTATAACAAGGAGCTCTAAGAATTTGTAAATTTGTTTACCTCCCTCTAAGTACTTTTTAACTATTCCTTTGTTCATATGTCCTCTAAAAAAAGATCCAAATTAAAGCAACATCTTAATATCTATAATAATATCTCATAATAAACGAAAGAAAAATAGCCAAATGGGTCAAAATGTCACTCGCTTAAAAATTAAAATTAAAATTTTAAAAACTAAATTAAGTTAATTATTTATTTAAATACATATATTGCATATTTATGTATGTACATACATTTATGTATGCACATGTATAAATGTATGTATACATTAGCAGACGAAATAAAAGAATTAAAATGCATACATATGTATGTACATATGCATGATATTCGCTTGAATGCTTTGAGATAAAAGACCTTAAACTAAAAACTTGAAAACGAAAATAATTTAATTACGCTATTATGCCACTTGTGAGCAACTATTTTCGTCAGCTTTTCTTTTCCTATATTGTTTCTGTTTCGATCTGTGGTGGCTCAGCTCGATTGATTTTCTCATTTGCTTTTCAAATGATGTAAATCCATGCAACATAAAAGTATCTGTAAAAAGAACAAAAGAAGTTTGGTTATAACCATATAAATTCAAGTGAGGTATATATATAAAATGTACCATAAAGTATGTTAGATGCTAAGGAAAACTGCGATAAGGATTGCTTGCCGTTCCTTCCACCCCAATTACACAACAATAAAAAGTCGTCAGTGTACATGTGTCGCAATACATCTTCTACACTGTCCGAAACAACTTTTTTTCTCGAAACGAACAGCTTCTGAAAATAAACAAAAATTTATACAACACTGTAGAAACAAACAAATTTTAAACTAACCATTCCGGTGAGATACTCTTGGCACTTCAATTTTTCTTCAACTTCGAAAGCAGGTTCTAGTGTTGTCAGTGGTAAAGTGGAAGCAATTTCAGTTTGTTGATCGTCCACCTCTTCCCCGGTCATTCGACAAATTGAATTGTGAATTCTTTTTATGGGGACTTTACATTCGCTTACGGTTTTTTGCTGGGCCATTTCTTCGCTTTTTTGTATGATATGAAAATGAAAATATTGCAAAATTTACGCATGAAATAGATTGAATGAATTATATTTTTAGTAACGATATTACTGCGTAAAAAAATCTTTCTGTACTTACATTTTCTTTAAAATAATTGTCAATCTTGGTTTCTAGGTTAGCAACTCGGGTATCCAAATTTAAAATATTGGTGGTCAGGACTTTTAGTATGCATAAAACCTCTGGAAAAAAGTCGAAAATAAAATTCAGTAAATAAATATGTTAAGGTTTGAAAATATATTTAAAGGGTTGAATACCATTGTTTACAGTGGGCATATTGGATTCGGAATGTTTTGAAAAGCTGGTCAGCATTAAGATCACATGACGAATCTCGTAAGCAGGCTGAACTGCTCAATCCCTCAGCACTATGACCACATTGCGTCTTCACAAACAAATCGTCAATTTTTGCATATTTTGCCGCCTTTTCTTCGCGGCTCATGTATGCAGAAAATGTACTTTTTTTAATTTTTATAAATTTACACCCAAAAAAAACTCCTCTTAATTGAAGAAAAACAGCAATCAAAATGAAGAAAACTGGGAATGAAACAGCACTAAAGGAGTTTTATGCTCTTTTCATGCCCAACATTTCTCCAAAATGATAGATTATATCCACGGCTTCATATTTTCGTGTACGTTTTTACACATTCCAAAGAATAATTACGCATTCGGGAGAATTTTTTACTTATTCGGAAGAATTTTCTACCTTAAAGTAAGGAAAGTTTTTCTTTGATCTAGAGCAAAAACCAAAACCTTGGTTGAAATATCTAATATATCTGACTCATAAACCAAAACCAAACCAAAATTTAAAGTTGGGTACAAATTTTTAAAGGTTGCATCGGGTGAGCAACAATTTATCGATTCGAGGAATTAATGCGCTGATGAGAAAACGAAAACTCGTATACCGAGACGATAAAGTGGCCGGTAATCTAAAGGTTAGATGAGAAAACGGCCCTAACACTCCTCGCAAAACAATGGGCTAAAGCGGCCTAAGTGAATCACTTTTCTAAAAGAGAGCGGCAAACACTACAACCTAACTAAAACTTGGGAGTTCGCGCGATAGTTTTTTATGTGTATTGGTAAAAAGTATTAGACCCAAAGGGTAGGTAATGGAAAAGGGACTGCCTTATAGACGTTAAATAAGAGCTGAACGTTCTCAAGAGCTAACTGGAAATGTGAGACTAGATTCCGCATTCTGTAAAATTAATTTTTGAAGTCTTATTCAACTACAGCTCTTCTTTTTTTTCACTGTAAGCCCTTTTACTTTCAACTTACGCAAAATAAAAATGCCAATTGCAGCCAAGGACACAGGAGGCATTCCTCTAATCCTGCGACCGCGATGCGAGTTGGAGCATAAATTCATAAGAAATTACTTTGCCAGCGGAGATGCCGTATTATAATATTCTTCAGAAATATAGGGCACCGTACTTCGATTACATAATGCCTTAGTTTGGACGTCACAATCTACTCTGATAGTCAAGTTCCAAGCATTCTGTTGCGCAAGCTTGCCACGATGGGTTTCCACTCTATATTCCTGAAGTGGCTGAATTCTTATTTAAGTAATAGGTGCTGCGTGGTCTCACTCGAGGGGTTATCTTCTATTCCATTTACTGCATCATCTGGCGTACCACAGGGTAGCATCTTAGGACCTTTACTCTTCGTTCTTTTTATTAATGATATAGGCAGTTGTTTTTCGTTCTCTAGGTTCTTGCTTTACGCGGATGACCTAAAAGTTTTTTCTTCGATTAAGAGTTCTGAAGATGCTTCTAGGGTTCAATCAGATATAAATAGATTGTACTTACGGTGTTGTCGGTCTCACCTACATCTCAATATTAGCAAGTGTTATCACGTAACGTTTTCCAAACTACGTAACGATGTGCAAACGTCATACAGTATCTCTGGTACTCCCCTTCAGTCAGTTTATGAGATCAAAGACCTTGGTGTAATTTTCGATGCGTCTTTTTTATTCAATAACCACATCAATTTTATCATATCTAAATCATATGCTGCGTTGGGCCTTGTTCGTCGAAATAGTTGTAATTTAACTGATCCCTACACTCTGAAATTGCTCTACACGTCTTTTGTTCGTCTAAAGCTTGAATATGCAGCACTCATCTGGAGACCTCATCATAAATTTGCCATCGATAGAATTGAGCGTATTCAAAAAGTTTTCCTTAAATATGCCCTTTCTTCCCTCAATTTCTCCACTCCCATCCCTCCGTACAATTCCCGCCTCCTTTTGATTAACCTTAAGTCCCTCGAAAGCAGAAGGACTATTCTCTCCTTGTCTTTTGTGCGTGGCTTGGTAAGTGGTGAAATCGATTGCCCCGCATTACTGCTTGCTATTCAATTTCTTATTCCTGCGAGAACACTTCGTTTTAATCTTCCCTTTTACCTCAAGGCCCTCAGTACGAATTACGCAAGAAACGCCCCGTTAGTGCGTGCACTTCGGGAACTCAACGAGATTTCGAATTCTATTTTGCTTGATTTTTCTTTGCCCAAGAATATATTTTATAGTTTATTGAATTCAATTTTATTTTAGTGCCTTCTGCACTTCAGTTTTAGGTATCGTTTTAGTCAGTAAGAACCTTTGTAGTTTATTGACTTTTGAAATAAATAAATAAATAAATAAATAAATGAATAAATATCTCTACATACAGCGCAAGATAGTTGTACCTTCTTAGGAACAGTATCATTCCCATTTTGTCTGCGTTCTTCCTCAGCCCGGGTGGAGATACGCAGATAGCTTTTGAAAAGGTACGAGACTTTACCGGAAGCTTGTTTCCCAATAAAGACTCCGATTTGAAGATGTTCAGAAAATACATATTAAGTAGCAATCATACATACATACATACTATATCTCATAGATTTCCAGCACAGGTTTTGTTAGGACCACATTGGCAGCTCTTGCTTTTTTCGATGAAAGACCTTCCGGAGATAACCTGGATCTGTAAAAATTTTGAGTTTTAGCACAGACTGGTGTGCCGGAGTTTGGCTAATAAGTGAGCACGGTTATCTACACATGTATGTCAAAATTCAAATAATTCGAAGTCTCTCATTTCGATTATCAGATCCCTTCCTTTATTACCATGCCAATCACGACGAGGGTACCGTTCGTAAGCGCTCTTAGAAGAGGTGGTAAACGAGTTGTTTATGCTTTTATGCTAAAATATCCCTTTTCTATTAAAAAGCAGAGACTCGTCATCCCTTGGTTTTAACACTTTTATGAGTGTTCCATCCACACACCCAATGACACCAGGAAAATTTAATTCCCTATAAAAATACAATTTTGATGCGTTCACCTCCGCGGGAGACATTTTCAGCTGAATTCACTCTTAACAAAGGCAGCTCTCCAGCTCCTGTACAGCAAAGTGCAATATTTTAGAAAAAGTGCTTGTGCCTATGTTGACATCTTGGTCTTTAGCTATCCCCAACTGATAGGAGGCAGTTGCTAAAAACCGTATTGTGGCTGCCAGCTGCATAGTCGGTGAAATAAAACGATGTCTTTCCGCTAACCTATTTGCTATTTTGTCTAACAGCATTTGAAAAACATCTTTACTTATGCGATAAGACTCTATAAACCTAAAAAGTATGTACAGATCGAGTTAGATAAAGAAAATTACATTATAGGGTTAATTTGCTTGGAGTCAAACTTTTGGAATATGTCCACATGCATATTTAGCTGACGATTTTTTTTTTTTATTTTGATCGTGAAATAACACGTTGCCTGGGCACACCCAAAAATCATTGGCACTGGCATTTTTGCAGTATTATAGAGATTTGAATTAATTTTAACATAAATAACTAACAACAGCTGTTGCAACCTATTACCGAATCGAAATGAAAACGATTTCGAAAGTTTTCGATCGCACTCGGAATTGAGAACACCACCACAAAAATTAGTCGGAATGTGTGTCGTTTTACTATTCAAGTTGAGTCGAAATGCTGCTAGAGCACTGTTCATCATTTCAGGATATAATTTGCCAGCAGAAGATATTTATGCACTTAGATATTATGTACTATGTTCACGTATTTCACATAGGTGAGCGACACATATTTATGTCCATAAAAATTCTTACATATACATATGCAGGTATGTATGCATGTAGCTACATATGCCCGTATAAATTTTTGTATGTAGGAGTATTGTCCTGATAAAGGATTGACGACCATGTGGGCTGCCCAGATATTCGCTGATTTTTTCAACAACAACCATTATTTTTTCACTTTTGACCGTTTGAGTTTTTTTGTTTCCATTTTCCCTTTAGCTTTCCTGTTTTCCCATTTTCTGCACTTCTATTTTATTTGCGCTCTTCCTTTCGAGTTTGATGGATCATGAAAGCTTTTTGGTGAACAACGCACGCTTTGAATGGTCAGCACTGTGAAAAAAAAAACGGAAAGATATCCAAATATTGGTGAATATATATGCATGTGCATAGTCTTGCATAGTACCATACATACACATTTTCCTCAATCCATGCATTTACGTATATTCGCACATATTGGTCGGTGAACAATGGCATGCAAATCCTATCAACGATGCATGTGGTGTAATGTGAATGGCGTTACGTTCTTTTTCGGAAAATTGGCATAGAAACGCCGTCACCGCAGATAGCAAAGACAAAAAATGTTCCACTGAGCTTAATCCAATTTCAATAGATTTTACGGTTAGAATTTTTCATTGCATTGAAGCGTGCATGCTTTTATTGAATTTGGTTTTTTGTGTGGCTGCAGCAGCTTTAACATGGCATATATTTGTGATTTATTTGACACAAATAGCGATGTACACCAGTATTATTTTCTTTGCAATACGAACATTTATACGGCAAACTAAAAATCAGTGGGCTAAAAAAGAAATCAAATATGTGTGGATGTGTGTATGCAGAATATACAAAGTACGGCAAGAAACTAGTTTAAATGTCGAATGTTCAAACAGTTTTTTAACCACCACAACTACTTGAAG